CTCTAACCGGCACTGCAGAGGCTGCGGGCAGCTTTGCAGCCCAGCACTCAACCGCTGAGCCACCAGGGGAGGCCCTCAAGGAAGTACTTTTGAGAAGAGCAATAGGACTGGAAGTCTGCATTGGGATCCCTTTGAAGCTTTGACTGACTAATAAGCTATTTGTGTGTAGGTCTTTGAGGGCATGTTAAAAAACAACTTCCAGGCCACAGAGGGTGGGCACAGATGCCAGAACTCACATAGGATGGAAGGTGTTCAAATATTGAAGGGACTCATGAAGGATTCTATAGTGTCACCACAGGTGTGGCTAGTAATGAGCTCAAAGTAACTAGAAAAAATAAGATTCTAATCTCTACATAAAGTACATATGAACAAACTTCATAATTTCACACTGACCCAAAAGAAACTGAACTGTTTACCATAAAGTCAACACTCTAAAAGGAAATCCAACAAAATGAAGATACCCAACAAAATGATAGTAACAATATATAGTGTTCAATAAAAATTTACTAGACAAAAGAAGCAGGAAAATACAATCCATAACAAGTAAAAATGATCCGTCCACAAAACAGATGCAGAAATGACAGCATTAGAAGACAAATGCTTTAAAAATGCTCTCATTATCTCTCTTTTTTTTTGTCTCTCCCATACAAGCATGCTCAATATGTACACAATTTCAAGGTAAATATAAATATAAAGAAAAATACAAGTTATATAACATGAATCAAATGAACTTCTAAATCATCTACAGTGTTGTAAACCAATGTTATCTCAATGAAAAAATGATAGTTTTAAAAATCAACAAAAATTATACCTGCTACTAAAGAAGCATTAAGAAAAAATGTGTCACAAGGATTTAAAAATGATATATCAATAAAAGAAAAAATATATCAGAAATGAAAAATATTCTGAATTAAATTTGCAGTAAAAATTAGCAATGGTGGAAGATAAGATTGAGAAACTGATAAATGGAAACTATCCACACTGATTTAGAAAGAGAAGTAAAGGATGAAAATTTTGCATAAGTTCAGTTAGTTGTGGGACAGTATTAGGCAGTGTCACATATGTCTGATACTGGATTCCTAGGAGAGGAGAAAAAGGAGCAATAGGAAAATTGTTTGAAGAAATCATGACTTGAAAAGAAATTTTAAGTTGATGAAAACTATAAACCCATATTTCCAAGAAACCCAATGAATATCAAGCAGGACGCACACACACACACACACACACACACACACACCCCTGTTTTAGTGTAAGAGTGTGACATTTATTACAGTTATTTAGGTGGTGGTTTAGTGGAATGACACAGATTTAGGATTGGATAAAATTACTAAATAACTATATGAGCTTGTCTAAATTTTTAAGGGCAAATACTTGTTGTTAATTGTTAATTTCATAATCATAAACTTTACTCTGTGATCCAGCTACCCTTGGAAGGGGATAAGGAATATGCAAAACCCAGAGAACTGTAGGGAGAAAATAAAGATTATTGGATATTTTAAGCAGATAGGAATGGAGGGGTCCTCTCCTGAGCTACAGAAGGAATGGTCTGATGGTTAAGATAAAACACAAATCACGTGTATTAGATCTGTCCACAGTCAGCAATGGTGATCTTCATGGCTTCCACAATATTCATGCCCTCCTTCACCTTGCCGAAGACCATATGCTTTCCATGCAACCACTCAGTCTTTGGCAGATGGAAAACTGGGAACCATTTGTGCTGGGTCCAATATTTGCCATGGGCATGATGCTGGGGCTTGTATGCTTCAGGATGAAATTCTCATCATTGAATTTCTCCCCTTGGATGGACTTACTGCCAGTGCCATTATGCAGTGTGACATCACACCCTGGCACATAAATCCTGGACTAATTCTGTGAAAGCTAGAACCTTTATAACCAAATCCTTTCTCCCCAGTGCTCAGAGCATGAAAGTTTCCTGCTGTCTTTGGAACTTTGTCTGCAAACAGCTCAAAGGAGACAGGGCCCAAGGGCTTGCTCTCAATAGCGATGTCCAAGAACACGGTGGGCTGTGCCACACAGGAGGTCTGGCATTGACGGTGTCTGCAAGACCTAAATTTTTAATCTTTCAAAGCCTTAATTTATTCATCCACAAGAAGGAATTATACCAACTTTTAGGAATGATTGTGAAAATTGAATGAAATACCCTATCAGTTTTCTAAGTATTATATATTTGGGGCATATAGTAGTACCCAAGTTATGGAGTTCCTTTCCCTTTTCTCTGACTTTTGATCAGCTGTGAGTCTTTCGGCATCTGCTTTCAGTCTACTCTCATTACACTGCGCTCTCATTTCTCTTCTCTCCACTCCCTCTCACTGTTGAACAGCTACAGGGCTTCTCAGACCTTGGACCTGCTCCTGTGAGAGTTCACATGGGACATAGCCTGACAACTCTGCTGGACTCTATGCCTCCTTAGTGGTAGCCGTTCCAGGTCTCCAGAGTATTTAATTGAAAAGAAGCCATTTAATGTGCATTTCTTTTTAAATGTGAATTTTCTTTTATGTTTCCATTGTCACTTTTCCACTTGGTTTCCACAACTCCCTAATTTTAGTATTTCCATTTATTATTTTAAATCATCTGCAGAGATTGTAGATCTTCAGAACATACATTTTTAGTATGTATACTAAAATAGGACATTGTTTATTATTCTGCTATTTTTATGCTGTAGTACTTTGGTCAGATAAATAAAACTTTCAAAAATATTCAATCTCACCAAGTAATCAAAGACATAAAATCATAACATATCTCTTGTTTTTAGAAAAAAAATTAATAATTGTACGCTGTGCTGGTTACTTGCAATTAAATATATTCTTAGAAATATCTGGGAACATTATAAATCAGAACATACCTCAGGCAAAGTAGTTTATAGTTTGATACTTGGGAATTTGATTTCTATCTGTGTTTCATATGCATTATTCATTTGCATTATGAGTCAAAATATTAATATCTTGCATCCTAGTAGGTTTGAGAAATAATCTTAAAAGAATTATCTAATGTATATAAAAGATAATCAAATTTGAAAATTCATTTGAGATGTTATTATGTTTTTTCCATTTAAAGTCTGATTCTTTTGTGGAAGGCCTTCATCCAGAGAAACAAATGAAATCAACATGTAAAAGGACACTATAGTCAGAATCTAACATTTTCTTTTTTAAATTATTTTTTATTTATAGAAATTTTACATCATTATTCATTTTTAAACAATGTTTGCTTTCTTTTCTCAGAATTTTCACCACCAATGCACCCATACAACACCACCACAGTCCCCTGTGCTCCTCCCTCCCTCCTTCTGATCCCTCTCCCTCCCCTTCCATTGATGGATGTCTCTGATTTATAGGTGTCTGTTTATTTTTGTTTTGTTTTGTAGTATCTTGTATTATTCTTTTTTTCCCTGATGCCTTCTTTGGTTCCCTATATTCCTCCTATAAGTGAAACCGACTGATATTTTTCTTTTTCCTTCTGACTTATTTCACTGAGCTACACTGCTGGTGGGAGTGCAAACTGGTCCAACCACTGTAGAAAGCTGTATGGCAGTTCCTCAGGCTACTAAAAATGGAGCTACCATATGACTCAGCAATTCCACTCCTAGGACACAAAAACATTGATTCAAAAGAACACCTGTACTCTTATGTTTATTGCAGCACTATTTCTAATAGGTAAAACCTGGAAACAACCCAAATGCCCAAAAGTAGACAACTAGATCAAGAAGATGTGGTGTATATACACAATGGAATACTATTTAGCAATCAAATAAGATAAACTCATGCCATTCGCAGCAACTGGATGGAGCTAGAAGAATCTAACATTTTCATGATTTCTTACTCCTAGAATGGAATGCAGTGAAATAATTGATAAACTACAGCCATATAGTATATTGCATTAAAATTTTTCATAGATAATTGAAACAACAAAGCAAATTGGAAAAAAAAATTGCGACATACCATATGTATTATAGAAATTTTCAAAATACATTAAATAATACAATACAATTGTTTCCTATTACATACTTGCCATAATTTTTTTTTAATTAAAATGGTATATCTAACACCAGTAGTGTTTACCTATTCACCTCTGGGTAGCGGGAAGAAATTGATTAAGGGATAATACAGGGACTTCAACCACATTTATAATATTTGGTGGATATGTATTTTTATCATATAATTCTGTGTATCTTCCTACATGGTTGAAATATTTTATAATTTCAAAAAAGAAGTCTCTATTGACTAATATGAAAATTTAGACTTTTAAACATCAGAGTAGATGATAAATAACAAACATAAATTGCATATATATTTGGGAAAAAGTGAATATATTTTCTATGATGTATAAATTAGAACTGGGAATGAGATGTGATTCACTAAATATAATATGTTTGATTCTTTTAAAGAAAATAATAAAATATTAATTTAATGTCACTATTTAAGAAATTCGCTCAGGGTTTATGTTCTTAAACCTCTGTTCATTTTTCAAGAAAACCAGATATGTCCTTTCATTTTTTTTTTTTTACCCAGTAAACTTTTATTATAAAGCAATAAACACTTTTGTTTCTAGATAGGTCACAGATTGTTGTTTTCGTATTATTTTTAAGATTATGGTAGTTTTTGGAAGGGACTTTTTAAAATTTGTTTATTGTGGAAAAATTTCTTCTCAGTTTAAACAAAATTTTGATTAGTATTTTGAATATTGTTTATCTGTTGTTGACTTAGAAAAAACAAGAGTTTTTGACTAAATAGCTGGGCTTTCTGAATTTTTACTTAGTGTTATCACTGCCAGTGATGGAGTGATGGAGCTGACACTGACAGTGATGGAGCTAAAATTGAAGATGATTGCCACCAGATGCTATAAAATTCAAGATTATTTGAGTGCAGGGTATCAGGATAAAGAGAACCTCAAAGAAAATGCCAAATGAAAAGTCAGCGAATTTAATTTCTGTTGGAGTTTCATTTTAATCCATTAACATTTTGATTTACACTCTTGTATTTCAGGGAAAGGTGGCCCAGACAGCATGTATGTCAGCTTGCAAGCATTTAGCCACATCGTTGATGCAACTTTTGCTGGAAGCTGAAGTAAGGCAGCTCACCTTGGGAGCATTACAACAGTTCAACTTGGATGTCAGAGAATGTGAACGTAAGACAGTAAACCATCCCTTTGCTTGTTTGTCCTACCTGTATCCTCACGTTTTGTGGGGAAAAAATGTTTTTTTCTGTGGGATTATTGTTTCTGATGGAGTCAAAGAATACTTAGATGATAGAGACAACTTACAGGACACCTAGAAACAGTATGTATCAGCAAGCTAATTTGAACACCCAAAAGTGCATCGGCCCGTATTTAGAACACAGATGATTCTGAACTACAAGGAAGTTTGCAATTTAGAGGGGGATATAATGCAAACATGCATTTAATAGATACCAAAGAAAACCTGATTAGTCCAAAAACTTCAAAAGAATGGATTCCGTACCTATTTCCTTTTAATGTTATATTTTGAAAGTATTTTTGTATCTTATCTGCAAACTCTCCTTAGTCTGATGAACAAATGGTGTGTACATTTATCAGTCAGAAATGCTTTCTATTGCAGGAAACAGAAGACCTAGGACAAAGTATTTTAAACAAAAAGGGTTTATTTTCCTCAGAAGCAATCAGTTATTGATTTAGTTGTTTGATGATTCATCAAGAACCCAGACTCTCCTTCCCTCTCCCCTGCCGTACTTAAAAGAGTGTGCACTTTTCATCTCAATATATATTACAGTCAGATGATACCCACATCCAATACAAGAAAAAGGGGCCAACCTCACCTATTCTTTTTATTAAGAAAATAAAAACCTTTTCAGGAGACTCCTCACAACTTTCCCTGTGTGTTACCCATCAGAGGCAGTTGCATAGTCACATCCACATCTAAGGGAGTTTGTGAGATTGAGTATCTGGCATAGTTGGCATAGTTGATTCATCATGAGTCATGTACTTGGAGTTGAACACAAAATTCAGGTTTGGTTAGGAAGAAAGAAGGAAGGATTGAAGAACGTTATGGTGTTCGTTATGCTGTCAGTGAGAAATGAAAATGAACAAAAATGATTGACTCCTAGAAATTTTCTTTCTGATCCTAAGAAAGTTAAAATAGTGGAAAATTCCATGCATGAGTCTGCTAACACTTCTGCCCTGACTTTTTTTTTTTTCCTGCTTATTGATTTCCTTTGGTTGACTATTAATGGCTGGAAATTAAGGATTCATTGGCTATGCTACTTTTAATTTAAAAAGGTATTATAGGGCTTCCCCGGTGGCACAGCGATTGAACGCTGGTTTGCGAAGCTGCCCGCAGCCTCTGCAGCGCCAGTTCGATCCCCGGCTGCTCCCTGGCCACCGGAGGAGGGTCCCGCATGGCATGCAGACCTCTCCTGCCGCCCGCTGCTCCCCTCAGCAGTGTACTTTGGTCCTTCTGCCTGCTCTGCTCCCCACTCTGGCTCTGGTGAATTCTCTCACCCTCCCACGCTTCTGACTGTACCCAGTGCTTGTATAAATAAATAAAAATAAATCTTAAAAAAAAAATCTTAAAAAAGATTTATTTAAAAAAATAATAAAAAATAAAAAAGGTATTATAGAGATTTTTAGTTCTAGTCATCATAGAGTAATAGGTATCTAAATTACCTTCTGCCATAAATGACTATAAACTGGCTTAACTCTATGAAGCAACACTTTTCATGCATTGGACAGCAGACAGCACACGACTGTAATCCTTCAAAGAGGGCACATGCACCGGGTAAACTTGACATTGACTCTCATTTTCTGTTTGGAGGCACTAGCCAAACAGCAACACAGCAAAGTAGATACCAAATAAGAGCAGGGTTTAGAAAAAAACAAAAACAAAACAAAACAAAGCAGAAACCTCAGAGATTGCCGTGTAGAGCTAGTGAGGCAGCTGGAATTTGTGGGACAAGATACTCAAGAACAGGCAGTTGCTCAGAGATGTAGCTCTAGAAATCTGCATTGGAAAACCCTTGAGTCTTGCCTTGGCAAAACTCTGTGAGACTTGACAGAGAACAGCCACTGAGAATCTGTGAGCTAAATAGGAATATCTGAGGTCACAGAGTGCTGGGGGACACTGGAATTCTGACATCCAGAGAGGGAAACCAGCTAAACACTGTATGCATTCAGTTAGACTCCAAAGGTTAGGCCTTAACAGTGCTACTTAAGCTCTACAGTAAGAACCAATCTTGATCCATCCTAGCAAAGCCTAATAATAAGAAATGACAGGTTAAAAGTTCGTCAACCAGTTAAATAACTGCTTGCCAACAAACAAACAAAGATAACAACAGCAAAAAACCAAACTCAACAGTCATTAATGAGTCAGTAAGAATTCTAGACTCCTGATTTTTAGTTCCAGTCATCATAGAGTAATAGCATTCACATAGCATTCACAATTTCACTGCAAATGCTGAAATTAGACATCAAAAAGGCTGGAAATATGAATCATAGCAGAAGGAAAAAAGGCAATAGATATAGGTGCCCTAATGACACAAATGTTAAAAATAACAAACAAGATCTTTACAAAACCTAATATATATATATAATATATATAAAGAACTTAAATATATTTAAGAGCTTAAATATATATATTAAGTTCTCAGTATATATACTGAAGGAAAGATGAACATAGTCATTTAACTGTAGCTAAATTTGTGTTTCATAGAAACTATTCATACTGATTCAAAAATCTCAATACATCTTTAGAAGAAAGAACAAAAAAATCACTCCTAGGCACATTATGGTCCAATTGCTTAAAAATAAAAATGATTTAAAAAAACACAGAAAATGTCTACAATCTCCCTTTTCCCACACTTTAGTCTAGAATCTTGGCATACCTTATTAAGAAAAGACATATAACTCCCTTCCACTTGAATCTGGGCAGGCAGTGACTTGATTCTAACTGATGGAATATTGCAGAAGTGTCCTTGTGAGTTTTGTGACTGGATCAAAAAAGACAATGCAGTCTCCATCTCCTTAGTTAGTCTCCCTACTTTGAGGAAGTTCACACTTCCTCATGGAGACACCACATAGAGAAGCCCTGATGCCTGACATTTTGAATTTTATGTTATTGGTGCTGTGTTTAATTGTATTCTTTTAAACTGTGTTAGGTTTTGTTAAAACCTGCATTTAAGTTACTTGGAATTGACTGTATCCTGTTGAGTCTTGCTTTTAAGGTTATAGTGGGTCCAGAGGAGTCTGTTGTCTAGGCCTTATGTAACTCCAGGCCTTAAGCAATGCCCTGGATGTGATGGATTTTGATGCATGCCCCCAGTATCTGGAGATCTTTCATCTCTGGCTTGTGGGAATATTAAATATGCCCAGCTCTATAAGAGCTCCACAAATTACTCTGCCTATTCATCTCTGGTGGTTCTTTCTTCCCATACATGCACAGGTTAGAAATCCATCAAATATTCAATGGGGCCCTTCTGTAGTTTTCCTGAGAGCTCACATTTGCATTTTTCTCCTGGCTGGTGCTTTGCCCTCCAAATACTAGTTGCCTCAGCATTCTGGACTACAATCTCTCATTTTTTGATCATGCTATCATGTTTTGTTTGGATTTTCTCCTTTTGCCCAACTTGCTTCAAAGTCTGAAAACTAACTCTTGTCATGCTCTCCTGTGCTGTTGTAGTCCTGCACTGCTGTAGTCTAATATCCAGAATCATTTTTCAAATGCTAAGTCGAGTTTTACAGTTTGTTTTTTTTTTTTACAGTGAGAAGATAAGTTCTTTTCCTATTTTGCCATCACATCTAGTAGCAGAATCAAGTAAATTATCTTTTCAAGGTTTTAAAAAAACTTACAGAAGTAATACCTACTCTTTGTGGAAAATTTGGTAGGGGGATTGTGGAAAGTACAAAAAAAAACTTACCATAATTTCATCATTAGTACTAAACACAATTCTAGGGCTTTCATTCAGACTTAATAATATCTAGTGGCCACAGAATTATTTCTAGAAGCCATCCATCAGATTCTTTGTATCTAGTTAGCCTAAATTGTTTCACAAGCCTCTCTCTTAACCAGCTTTTACCAGGAGAATAAAAACATAATGATTAGCTAGATAGAACAAGGTTGATTTTTGATGCTAAGTATGAAGTAATCCTTTTCTAAGTTTTGAGGAAAGAGTAGACTCGATCAACCAATTAATACTATTGGTTAAATAACACAGCCTGATGAATGATTGGGAATGACTACATGAACTGCATTTTTGATAGAGCTAACAGATAAAGAGAAGTGAAGGATGATAAAGCTAACATATATGAACCTTAAGGCAGAGGAAGGCTGGGCTGGGAGAAGTACTGAATGTACATCTTATGATGCTTGAACCTGAAGTACATTTTATGAACTTCACTGAAGAAGAATGAGCAGCTTGTACTTGAGAGAACTATAGGGGAAATAGTATACTTAGTAGAGAGCTAGCTTTCAGATAAGATTGAGATGGAGAGATCATTTCATGAAAAGGTACAATAATAGAGTTTGTTAATCATGCACAGAGGGGTTACTAGAGTCAGCACCTTATCTGAAAGCCATTCAAATTTTGTAATAACCTTTCAGACTGAGGATCAGCTTGAAGCTAAAATTTGTTGGACCTAACAGTGCCTCCGATAACCATATTACCACTGAATTCCCCCCCACAAACACATATTTTAGAGCCACCAAGCTTCATTGATTTAGAATTTAATGCTTTATTTCTGATTGGCAGTAATTTGTCTGCCAAGAAACTTTCCATGGACATTTATTTTACTTTAAAAGAAAGAATTCTATTCTATGTCTTTTGCTATACCATCCCCCTCATTTTTTTTCTTTAGATGCTCAGTGGTCTATAAAAAATCCTAAAGAAATGATACATAAGATTCAAGTAACTATACAGAGGCGTATAAAAGCAGCCCCAAATGACAAGATAATTAACACTTACATCTTTCTACCCAGTGGTGTGTGCATGAGGTATTTTCCCTATTGTCTGTGAGTCCTTGGAAGAACTGGATAGGTCCTGAAAGAAGTTAAACTCTGGACAAGATAGAATTTAAATGTACCTTGAGTGTTTGACTCTGAGGCCTGGGCTGCCACTTTCTTAGATCCTAAATACATGAAGAAATTATGTGCATTACTATGA